TGGTGACACTCTCCATTCAGTCCTTGCATTTCCAAATCCTGTCTGTCAAGAGTTCCCTCCAACAACTTACCCACTATTGACATCAGGCTCAATGGTACATAATTCCCTGGTCTTTCCTTGCAGCCTTTCTTAAACAATGGCACATTAGTCACCCTCCAGGCTTCTGGCACCTCACCCTGGCAGTCAACAATATAAATATCTGTGAGGGGCGGTCAAGTTATTGCTGGAGACCCATTTCAGTTCTCCAGGATTTTATCATGATTATTTTAAAAGCTGTTAGGCTTTCTAGTTAACCCATCTGAGACCCCGCCCACTTCACTGCCCATGCACACCACCTCATAGTCCATATGCCAGCTTAAAACCATCATGGTATCTCCATACTCTCATTGGAACTCCATGTCATAACTAGCCTCTATGCCACCTCCACAGCTACACAACCAGTATCTAATATTGGGAGACATCAGAAGTTATGTGGATATGAAAACAATAACTTTTAACAATTGAATGGAACTCATATACACTTGATACAGAAAAGAAATCTCTCATTTTTGAAGCTCATTCAGAGGTTTTAAATTCCCTCAAGTGCTCAATCTTCTGTAAATACAAATTTCCATTAAGTAATTACATCATAGAAATTAATCTTTTAATAACCTCGTTAAGCCACCCCTGACACAATAAGAGCTTTGGGTGCTTCTGAAACTCAGACAGCATTTAGAATGACCACAGCTGTAATCACAGCTCTTCTGAAATCTCAACAATGAACTCCATTGAAGTTCACGAGCAGATGATAATAGATGTTAATAAGCTATACCAGTTGGCTTGTAAATCTAAGCAGTCCAGAGGTCCATTTTTCACTTAAACTGAAAGCTGCAGCCCATGAGTTTTTTCTCATTTTTAAAGAGGTGGGGTTTGAAATCATTTCAGACCATGGCACTTCTCCAGATTTTATCTTCACTTCAAATGTTTTTATTTGTGCTCCATAAATTTGTGATTCCTATTCTGAGTGTTAAGACACTCAGAACAGTGAAAATGGAGTCTGTGACAATTTTGCATTAATTTCAAATAGTCCTGCTAAGGTTGGGTTTCTGCCGATGTGATTCACAGCCCGTCCCCTGCCAGCAAAGTGAGATTTCTTGTTAATGGGTTTGGGACATGCAAATCCATGTCTTGCTGCTAGTTTTAAAGGAATCCGGATTCATCCTGTTCTCACAAAAATCTGGGCCGCAAAACAATTTATGCATTGGAAATAAGCCACTCAGTCCATCTAGTCCACTACTGTTCCCTGTGGGGAATTGCAGTTTGTCTCATACCTGTTCCTGAAGCCATAGCCCTGCTGGTTTACCTCCTTCGTGTGCCCAACCAATTTCCTTTTGAAATCCTTGACTGTCTGCATTTACAGCATCCTTGTGGATGCAAGTATCAGGTCAACAATTGCAGCCTTTCCAAATAAACCTTGCAGCTAAAGTCCCATAATCTCTGGAACTATTTTAATAACTTGCTCCTGTATCCTCTCAAGAACCTACACTTCTTTGCTAACATTTGGTGTTTCTTTGAACCATTTATCTCTTTTGTTTCTCACATCTCTGTTGTATGTTTACACTTGTCCTGGTACTTCCCTTCGTTATCAAACTGAAATCTGTTGGACGTTACCATTTTCAGCTCTATGCAAATGGAGCATGTAAGAAATGTACCACAATACCATAGGTGACTTCAATACATATGTAATTTGGAAGAATCAGGTTAACAAAGCTATCTTAGAAAATAAGCTTATTAAGTGGCTTCAGGACAATTATTTAGTACCTTCTAGAGCCAACCAGGAAACAGGTCCATAGACCTAGTAATGTGCAGTGAGACAGGCTTAATTAATAACTTCAAAGTAAAGGAGCCTACAGCTGGCAATAATCATGATAGAATTTAATATTCAGTTTGTAAAGGAGAAACATGGGCCCATGACTAGAGTTTTAATCTGAAATAATGCTAACTATGAGGGCATGAAGGGAAAGCTGGCAAAGGCAAAATGGGAATCTGAGTTGAAAGTTAGCTCAGTAGAGTTTCAGGGGCAAATCTTAAAGAAGATGTTTAGTTACTTTCAGCAAAGATTTAGCTCAGTTTAAAGAAAGGCTCTTTGAGAATGATGCCTCAGCGTGACCAAATAAGGAAGTTAAAGATAGTATTAAATTTAAACAAACACTGCACAAATCTGCAAAGATTACTGATAAGTCAGAGGTTTGGGCAGGATTTAAGAATGAACATAGAAAAACTAAAAAGGGCATAAAGGGACAGAAAGCAAATTATGAGAGTAAACTAGCAAGTGATATAAAACCAGTTAGCCAGCACCTTTCTGCAAGTACTTGAATAGGAGAAGAGTAACTAAAGATAGTATTGATCCCATAGACAGTGAGTCAGGTAAATTGAAATGGAAAACAACCACATGGCGGAGGATGTCAACTGGTATTTTTAATCTGTCATCACATTAGGATACTTAGCTAACTTCCCAAGTATAATCAAGAGGTGCAGGGGAGGGAAAAACTTAAAACAATCACCAGTACCAGGAAGAAGATGCTAGACAATGATTGGACCCATAGGCTAATAAATACACAGGACCAGATGGCCTACATCAAACATCGTAAAATAAATGGTGGCAGATTGTAGATGCATTGACTAGAATTTTCCAAAATTCCTTAGATTCTGGAGGGGTCTGAGCCATGGAAAACAACAAATGTAATACCTTTGTTCAAAAAAGAATAACGGCAGAAAGCAAGAAAACTTGGGCCTTTGCACAATAGTCTTTTGTGTACAAGCTTGTTAAATGCCTTCTGGAAATCCAATTACAGCATATCAGCAGCTCCCCTTTATCCACAATGCACTTTACCCTTTCAAAGAATTCCAAAATATTGGTTAAACTGAGTTGCCTTTCACAAAACAATGCTGACTCTTACTAACTGCCTTCAACCCACTGTTCCATTTAATTGCTCAGGACTCGTCTAGAGATTATAATTTGATTAAGTTCCTCTCTTCCTGATTTACTGGGACGTTTTTATGTCTCCTCTATGCTGAAGATGGAAACAAAATATTTACTCATTACTTCTTCCATCTTGTTATTATCTACAATGAACTCCATTCTCACTCTCTAGAGGACCAACTCTCACTTTTCTTACTCTTTTCTTACCTATAGAAACGCCTGTGATCTGTTTTTCCATTTCTAACTAGCTTCCCCTCATATTCTAATTATTTGTTTTGATTAACCTTTTAGACATTCTCTGCCATTCTTTACATTCTGATCTGTCCAATCAGGACCTGGTCTATCCTGCTACTCAATTATATAGTCTTTTTCTTAAGTCTGATACCTTCTCTAAATTTTTTAGTTAACCATGGATTGTGGGCCCCTCCTCTTTGAAATTTTCTTTATAGTAGGAATGTACTTATAGTGAATATTCTGAAATATACCTTTAAATGACTGCTACTCTATAACAACTGATCTACCTCCTAGGCTAACATCCCAGTTCACTTCACCTAGCTCCAAAGGTTGCCCTTTTATAAGTTTAAAATACGAGTCTCTTCTCCTTTTCAAACACAATGTAAAATTCAATCATATTACGATTGCTGCTACCAATGGGTGCCTTAATTCTGATGTCATTCATGAAACCTGGCACATTATACAGTACCAAGTCAAGTATAGCTGCTTTCAGGTCCAGAACATGCTGCTCTAAGAAACTACCTCAAAAGCATTCAGTGAACACCTCATCAAGGCTACTGTTACCACTGTGACTTTTCCAGTTCGTATGTAGTTTAAAAATCACCCACAATTATTGCCATCTCTTTAAAGCAAACACCAAATATTTCTTTAAAATCGAAAGAACTGTGGATGCTGTAAATTAGGAACAAAAACAAAGTTGCTGGAAAAGCTCAGCAGGTCTGGCAGCATATGTGAAGGAGAAAACAGAGTTAATGTTTCAGGTCCGCCGACCCTTCCTCAGAATCGTTCTTCTTGAATGTTTCATCCTACATCATGCATTTCTCCTGTATTTTCTGTGTTTGTTTCAGATTACGGCATTTGCAATATTATAACTTTATTGAAAATGATTCCTTCAGAGGGTGGTGAATCTGTGAGATTTGTTACCAGAGGGCTGTCAAAGCTTGGTTGGTTAAGAATATTTAATGCTGAACTAGTCATATTTTTAATCATTAAGGGAATGAAAGGTTCCAGTTTAAAGGTAGGATGGAGGAGTTGAGGATTATCTAATCAACCATGATCTCATTGAAAGGCAGTCTCAACGGGCCAAATGGCCTACTTCTGCTCCAATATCTATTGGTCTTAAAAGAACAAAAAGATGCAAAGGATGATACATAGTAGATAGAAGCAGACTATCTTCAATGGTTGAAGGATCAGGAGCAGAAATCAGAGGTACAAAATGATACAACAAAAGAGACCAGGAGATGCTTCACCAACAGCGATGTAAGGCTGCTGAAATCGCTTCCAAAGTTACATTTTTGGGTAAAAACTATGTTAAAAATTAGATAGAAGATAGAAGAAGAAGAGGTGATGAAGGGATATGGGAACAAAGTTGTTAAAAGTGATTTAGATTTTGCTTACGTGGAGGCCAAATGCATAAGTGCACTGGTACCACATGTTACTTGTGTCTGTGCTCTGATTTCTTTGAACTCTTATGGACAGAAACGCTGTCAGAACTGCTCCTGTTCCATCTTTGCAGCTACACAGAAACCCCGATTCTAAATTGCACAGGGCAATCGGTATAATCACAAAATGCAATTATTGTCTACATCTTACAGGATGTACCCTGACAAAGTATTCCAAAGTCACTCAATCCCAGAATTAACTTACATATCTAAAATGGCTTGTAATTATGTAATCTATGCCGGTTGTGGAGTGATTTGCTTCATCAAGTCTCAGTAAAGAAAATAATCAGGAAAGATCTGTAACAATGCAGAATATTTGAATGTTTCCTTTTTCTCCTCAGCCCCTCTGTACAGTGTTTTACCTGGGCAGTAAAAATATCTCATCTTCCTTGCTTCCTTTTATGAGGATGACCAGAACACATTGCAATACAGAATGAAGATGTGAGTCCCACTTAATATGGATAGTAGTAGAGTTTTCCACTTCCACCTGCACATCAACATGAGGTCCCACGACATCTGAAATACACATTAAGAACTGATTTTAGGTTAAATGTTTTAATCATGCAGAATCTAACAGGCTTATGCAGTGGGCCTAATTTTGATATTCAGTCCATTTTAAATGAGTGATCAGCTTTCCAGATCCCCTGGGACCTAAAAAGGTAAGAAAAGGTTTAAAGACCTTACCAGAGCTCCTAAGGTAAAACATCCTACAGTTTGAAAACTGTCTCACATCCCCAACAAAAAACTACCAATCAATCCCTGCTCCACTGCACCAGCAATATTTCCTTCCACATATGCTCACAAAATTAATACCTATTATCTCGTAACTGGCTCAAACACCATTCTGCTTTCACCTTGTTTGGACTTGAATTCATTTTTTTCACTTTTCTGATACTTTACACTGCGCACTTTTTCACGTCCCCTTTGATTTTGCCCACTCCCTTGCATACATTTCCTGTCCCATTCTGTCAGAGTGCACAACCAGTTAAGCTTCCTCGTCCACCTTCAATTTACCCATATTGGCCTACTCTTAATATTTTTGCAGGATAACTTTGCACTCAACAATAGGAAGTCTGGAAGAACACTGATGTCTTGGACAGAGAGAGGGAGACATACGTCACTAAAGCTGGTCATTTACAGCAGGGTATTTGACTATTTTCCATTACTCTTGATACTTAACTTTTCAGTTCACACCCTCATAACATGGCACATTGGAGTTACATTGTGCTGCCAATCAACTGCTTTTATTTGCCACCGGGAACAGGATTAGATGTAACATAATGATCTAATTGACAGTGGTAATCATAGTGGATTTAATTCAACTGACTCAAAATTGCCATTGATTTTACCAGAAAGCAAAGTCACTATAGTTGGCTGTGCGGCCATTTCAGTGAGAAAAATGATGGGGTGGTGCAAAAGACTCAGGAAATTAGGGATCTGATTAAGTAAACATGGAAGTCACTGAAAAAATAATTTCCTGGGCTTTTGCAGTGTCTGAGACATTGTTATACCATCATATTCTCCGGGAAATTCAGGCCAATATTTTTATAAGGAGGACAGCAAGACCTGCAGATGCTGGAGTCATAGACAACAAAGTGTGGAACTAGAGGAACACAGCAGGCCAGGCAGCATCAGAATATTTTGCTGAAGAAGGGTCCCGACCCGAAACATCAACTTTCCTGCTCCTCTGATGCTGCATGGCCTGCTGTGTTCCTCCAGCTCCACACTTTGTTATCATTATTTTTATAAACCAATTTATGTCCTCGCCATGAGTTGGAAATAGGAATACAAATATAAGCAAGATAATGTTCTCAGCACATCCAAAATAGTGCTAAAATAGTGAAATCCAGATGAGTTGAATGGTTCCATTTTGTGTGTTGTGCCCTGACGTTTAAATGGCTAACTATGTTGCACAATTTCCAGCATCCACAGTTCTTTTTTTTTGCTACATTTACTCTACTGGGCAACTATTTGTCAATGAAAAATATACCAGCGTAATTGTAATGAATAGTTATCTGATATTATGATTGATTACATGGCTTAAAAGTGATAAAATCATTGGTCTCAAGCGAGGAGCACTTAGCAACCCACATGGTAACAATGCCTTGCAACAAGAAGATCTTTCTGTCATTTCACACTCCTTTGGTTAAATCTCATACCGGTCACTAGGTAGTGCTATAAACCACCAAAATTAAAATGCAAACAAAGTGGGAAATACGTAAGAGAGATATCCAAACAAAATCTTAAGAACGCTGGCAGTACTCAACAAGCCAGGCAGCATCTGCCATGACCACAGTTTGATTTGCGTGGTTTCTTCTGGGGCAGAGGTCACCTGTTACATCTGAACTGGAAGTGAACCAACATCCTGGTGGGGAGGTTTGTTAGATCTACTCAGGAGGGTTTAAACTAGTCTGGCAGCAGAGTGGCACCCTAAACAGTAGAGGGCTGCTTGTCAGACTGGAGGCCTGTGACCAGTGGTGTTCCAGAGGGAACGGAGCTGGGTCCACTTTTGTTCATCATTTATATAAATGATTTGGATGAGAGTAGTAGAGGCACGGTTAGTAAGTTTGTGGACGACAACAAAATTGGTGGTATAGTAGACAGTGATGAAGGTTATCTAAGAGTACAACAGGTTCTTGATCAACTGGGCCAGTGGGCTGAGGAATGGTAGATGGAATTTAATTTAGATAAATGCAAGGTTGTTGCAGCTTGGTAAAACAAACCAGGTTAGGACTTAAACTGTTAGTGGTAGGGCCCTAGGAAGTGTTGTCGGACAGAGAGACCTAAGGGTGAAGGGATATAGTTCCTTGAAAGTGGCGTCACCAGTAGACAGGGTGGTGAAGAAGGCATTTGGCATGCTTGCCTTTAATCAGTCAGAACATTGAGTACAGGAGTTGGGCATCATGTTATGCAAGACATTCGGAGTACTGCATACAATTCTGGTCACCCTGCTATTGGAATGTTATTAAACCATAAAGGGTGCAAAAATTATTTACAGGGATGTTACTGAGACTGGAAGGTTTTAGCTATAAGGAAAGGCTGGATAGGCTGGGACTTTTTTCCCTGGAGCATTGGAGGCTGAGGGATAACCTTGTAGAGGTTAATGAAATCATGAGGAGCATAGATAAAGTGAATAGCAAAGGTCTTTTCCCTAGGGTGGAGGAGTTCAAAACTTGAGGGCTTAATTTTAAGGGGAGAGGGGCAAGGTTTAAAAGGGTCCTGACAGACAACGTTTTTACACAGAGGGTACTGCATATATGGAACAAGCTGCCATAGGAAGTGGTGGAGGCGGATACAATTACAACATTTAAAACACATTTGAACAGTTGCATGGATAGGAAATATTTAGAGGGATTTGGGCTAAACGCAGGCAAATGGGACTAGTTCAGTTTAGGAAACTTGGTCAGCAGGCACAAGTTGGGCCGAAGGGCCTGTTTCTGTGCTGTATGACTTTACGAGTCTATCTATCCTGTTTGTTACTTCCTCAAAGAACTGTAATAAATTTGTAAGGCATGATATTGTTTCAAAGGAGTCAAGGAATATAGGGAGAAATCAAGAATATGGCATTCAGATGGAGAATCAGCCATGATAATATTTAACGGCATGCAGGCTTGAAGGGTGGAATGGATACTCCTGCTCCTAATTTCTAGATTTCACCTTCATGAAGTCATGCTAACTTTGCTTGATTATATTACATACTTCTAAATGCACTGCAATTACATCCTGCACAATAGACTCTTTTTTCCCAATAACAGATGTTTAGCTAACTGGAGATAGTAGGAACTGCAGATGCTGGAGAATCCGAGACAACAAGGTGCAGGGCTGGATGAACACAGCAGGCCAAGCAGCATCATAGGAGCAGAGAGGCTGACGTTTCGGGCCTAGACCCTTCATCAGAAAAGGGGGAGGGGAAGGGGGTTTTGAAATAAATAGGGAGAGAGTGGGAGGCGGATAGA